CATGAAACAGTTTCATTAAGTATTATATGAAACAATTTCACAACCATATATGAAACAACTTCATCAAAAAAAGTATTATATGAAACAATTTTACAAGATTAAACAATTTCATGAAAAATTTTCATAAGATTAAACAATGAAATCGACAGATGAAGGTGGTTTGCACGGTTTACACAAATGAAGGTGGTTTTCATATGATCACTCCTCTCTCTCTCTCTCTCTATATATATATATATATGATAAAACTTGTACATTACTTTATAAATTAAAAAGTGGGTCAATATTGGTTTCCATACCCAGTCCGTTCAAAAGATTTTAGTAGAAAAACAAAAAAGAGGAGGGGTTAATTCAAAGTCGTGTTTGTTGAATTGTGACATGTTGCGACCTTCCACTTGGATAGAGTCGGGTGTTGATTTGATTCATTTCCATATATACATACACATATAGAGAGGTATATATAGAAAGAGAGAAAACGTTTACTTGTTGTAAATCATATTTTTTATATAAACCAATTACATTCATCCATTTTTGTGATCTTTTCAAAGATCACGATTAAAACAAGTTATTTTATTAAAATAAAAAATAAAAGAAAATAAATTATTATTATTTTCAACAAGAAAGGGTAAAACGGGAACAAACTGTAAACTGTTGCGATCATTGAAATCCCCTTTCCTGCAATTAATCCCGTGAACATGTTTCATTGGATACTATGAGATTGTTAGTGATGGGACAATAGGCTATTTAGAAATGTTAACGATGAAACAAAATTAAACTATTAATGATAAAACATAATGAAACTGTGATATTGGACAAAATAAAACAGAATGAAACTGTTAATGATGAATATGTTAATGATAAAACAAAATGAAACTGTTAATGATGAAACATAATGAAACTGTGACATTGTACATAATGAAACTGTTGATGATGAAACATAATGAAACTGTGATATTGGACATAATGAAACTGTTAATGATGAAATAGAGTTACCTAGAAACTATATAAAATGAGGGATATTTTAATAAACGATGAAGCATAAAAATATTCTTTAATCAACAATTATTGTACAGTTTTCAAAGATGACAATTTGTATCAACATATTTAATAGATAAAATCAAGATATAATACATATTTATATATAATTAAAGAATTATCAAACTTATCTATTATACTAAATAATTATCAAACATAATTTAATCTTAAAAGACCATAATGTTCTTATAAATTAAAAATAAAGAAATACAAATAGATTTATGTGATTGGTTTCATAGGGTTGGGTTCACGTGATACCAATGGTTTTTCATGAGACCCGTAAGACCAACTTATGTTCATTGATTTTAACTTCATAAGTCAATGATCTAATGGTTTAAAGTTGTACGGTGGCAATTTGTGATTATTGAGAAGTCTCGTGGCGTTTATGAATGTTCAGATTATTTGACTGTAGATCTAATCCAATGATTAAGAATTGGTCTTACTGGTCTCACAAAAAAACTTTAATCTCACATGATCTCAAGTCTAGTTTCATATATATATATATAGAGGAGCGTTCAAATAAAAACTTGCCCCATTTGTGTAAACCGTGTAAACCAATCTCATCCATCCATATTCTTGATCAATGGCTAAGATTAGTTTACTTTATTTTAAGAAATTAAAAATTAAAAAATAATAAATATTTATTTTATTTCAATACTAAGGACAAAATTGGTAAACAAAGTTAACATTTTGTAACTCCTTTCCAGATTCATTTAATAAAAAAAAATCAATTTTTAATATTATAATATATTAAAATCTTTAAATCTTTTTATGAATATGTTTCATCATCATGAAACGAGTGCATGAACATGTACAATATTAATAAAATAAGCAAATAAACCATTTTATAATSAAAYCTTCTCATATGAACATTAATTGCATAAAGAATAAAATATATTATGCACCCGTTTCATAATTTTTATTATGCATACTAATATATTATGCACCCGTTTCATCATTATGAAACATTTTCATATGAACATTATTATATTATGAACCGATTTCATTATACCAACCTTAAATCAAGAATTCATTCCATAACAAGCTATAATCTTAACAAAACTTTCCAGATTCATTGAATAACAAAAAAAATAAA